TTCGATCCAACCAGTCCTTACCGACCATGCTCCCAAACTAAACTAATTCCACCTGCCTGTGTTTGGCCCACATCCTTCCAAACCATTCCTATTCATGTACTTATCCAAATGTCTTTTTAAATGCTGTAACCGTACCTGCATGTCTGCTCGGCTCTTGATGCTCTACGTTGAGCTTTTTTTCTGACCCCTTGCATTCACCTTCAGCAGTATTTGATGGACATTGAGATGTGGATGAGCTGGTACTCTGTCCGACAGTCATCTGCACTGGTCGTCGCTTTAGCAGTGACATCCTTTTGGTCTCTGGATCAAACGATGACAAGGTCAGTTATGTGCCACTGCTTTGATTGTGGACGCCTCCAAAAAATCATGAACATGTCTTTTTAGCAGAACAGTGTATTGGTGAATGATTAGTTAGTGTTCTGTAAATTTGGTGAGGAGAATCCCATGGGTGTTGCAATTCCAGACTTGCTCCTTTCCACAACTGGACATCCTTTCTAGTCCTGGCATTGAAGTTCCCAAATTTGTTGTTAATTTTATCATCATTAGGGTCGTTGGTGAGTACAGTGTCCAAGGTGGAGTAGAAGTCTTTGTTTGGAGTCATCTGTGGCATCAAAGGTTGGAGCATAGACACTCATGAACATTACCTGCTGGTTTTTGGCCATTTTGGAGACAAAGAGACACGAAGCGATCGTTGATGCTGACAAAGAGCTCCGAGTTGGTTGACGAGTCCGTTCTTAACAGCAAATTGAATTCCACGCGTTCTTGGTTGATCTTTGGGTTTTCCTCTCCAGAAGGTGTAACCACCCTTAGCTGCCTTTTGCCTGGTCTTCAAATCTTCTGCAGGGCAGCGACATCAATGTTGAAGTGCCTGAGTTCATGGATAATAAGTGTTGTGGGCAATTCTTTTTGCTCATTTATCTCTGAGGTTTCGTAGATTCCAAGTTCAGAGATTTGAATTTGATTTGGTCTTCAGACCACAAATAGATGAGCCCACTGTATCGGTTTTCCAGTCAGGTTGGTGTTGGAACAGACTATATTTTTAGGGCACCTTTGTTAGCCCCTTCCCCTTGTCAGATGAACAGAGTGGATCCTGAAGAGGGCTGCTGAGTCGTGAAGGAAGCTGCTGAAATGCCCATCTATTCTTATTGTGAGAGCAAAATGACTGAGTGAAACTCCACCGCGTATGTGAAAACAACAGCTCTGAAGAGTCATCCAGACTCCACGTTAGCTTGCTCTCTGTCCATGGATGATGTCTCACCTACTGTGATCTCCAGTATTTGTTTTCAGTAAAGATTGCAGTGTCTGCAGTAGTTTGCTTCTCCACTGCCTATGTGCCAGACCAAAGTTAGGAACTTAGAGATTTTGTAACCCTGTCCCTGTTACTTCTTGTCAATCACCACGGAGCTTGTGTGTGTATGGGTGGGTGGAATGCTGTGAAGAGGATAGTCGGAGAGATGAGTGTTTGTACTTGTATGTCTCTGCGAATGTTAACGAATTATTGCATCTTTATTCATTGCTTAGTTTTGATTGTAAATTCCTAATCGTATTTAAGAAATCTGGTTGATGATGGATCTTGTTTTTTAAAATCTGATATATAGGTAAGGCATTTAATAGATCATCTTGGTAACCAGAAAGGTAATTTTATGATGTGACCCATGGAGCAGTGGGACTAGAGCAAGAGTGCATTCCTCCAGTCTTGGCCATCACAAAATGGTGCCCACCTGCTTTAGCAGAAGGCTTGGTCTGTACGGATAAATTTATTCAAATATTTCTTTCTACATTCTGAAGTATTTCAGTGTTAGGAATGAGATTTAGCCATTCAAATGGCTAGGTAAGGCCTCCAGAATCATTTGTGCACACAACGACTGACTTATTTCTGGAGTCAGTGAGTATGCTGAATCAGCAGCTTAAATGTGATAGGCTTTTTTCAAAAGTGCTTGAAGTGTACCCAACATTGCCAGATTTTGTCAAGGAATAGTGGTTGTAGTGTGCTAATATGAAAGTTCTCCGCTCAAAAAACTAATGATTTGATTTATGTGAAGGAGGCATTGAACCATTTGTGGGCCAGAGTTGCAAGTAGCTGACAAGGAATTCTGGGTGGCATGGCAGCTCAGTGGTTAGCATCTCTGCCTGTCAGTGCCAGGGACCCGGGTTCAATTCCACTCTCGGATGACTGTGCAAACTCCATACAGACGTTCTCCGGGTGCTCCGGTTTCTGCCCACAGTCCAAAGATGTGCAGGCTAGGTGGATTGGCCATGCTAAATTGCCCATAGTGTCTAGGGATGTGTAAATTAGGTGGGTTATGAGGGATGGGTCTGGGTGGGATGCTCTGAGGGGTGGTGTGGTCTTGTTGGGCCGAAAGGGCCTGTTTCCACACTATAGGAATTCTATGATATATGTCGTAGACATTTGTTACGAAAGTCTAATTGGGATTGGTTAGTTTCAGGGCATAAAAACAAATTTGCTGGAAAAGCTCAGCAGGTCTGGCAGCATCTGTGAAGCAAAAAAATGAGTTAATATTTCAGGTCTGGTGACCCTTCCTCAGAACCTGTTCCTGATTTACAGCACCCGCATTTCTTTCATTTTTTTAGTCTCTGGGCATGTTGACCTGCTCTTTAGTTGAGGTCGTGTGGAAGAAAGTGAGTTAATATAACAGCTTTTGTATCACTTGAGGATTTGGGAGCCATTGATGTAGTGCCAGTCAAGATAATTGTTTTTTTGAGAACTAGAACTTGGAAATTTAATATTTGGTGAAATTTGGTTTTTGCAATACATGCTTCTCATTTATCTGCAGAATTGCTACCTATGAATCTGAGATCTTCCGAGATCGGCTCAGATGCTTTCTTTTTTAATATCCTATTTGACTTGTCCGATCTGATCATGCAGTCCTTTGTGGTCGAAAGGAATTTAATATGATTGTGGTTCCTCAGATTGGAAGGTCATGCCCATAAATCCTGCAGATGCTGAGGATTTGGTGATTGCTCCCTGGACCAATTTGAATTGTTGCTGAAATCATTGGTATGAACTAGAACTGTTCAGATTCCTTCTGGATGCTGTTTTAAACATTGGGCAGCAACTTTTCAACTTTATGGCATTTAACCTGAGAGTTTAGAATTAGCTCCATGACCAATGTTCTGGTTGATTATTCGTCATCTAACATTTGGACAGTTGAGACTGGATAACAAGATGTGTTGAGTCTCAAACCCACCCTATCTATCATTATAGTTTGGTGAGCAGTAACAAATGGTCATTACACCAAATGAGATGTCACCTGGAGGATTTTCAGCATTAATTTGCCATGAGTGAAGAATGGCGTGTCAGCTTAAGTATTGAGAATAATCTGGCCAGAGCCAAGTGTTCAATAATGAATATTTATGTGAAATAAAAGTGGTTGTTGGGCATGCTTGTGAATAACACCCACGTGCACTGTTGACAAAAGTTTCCGGTCTTTCATAATGCTGTACTAAGTAAGGAGTAAACAGCGAATGTATTCTCTAAGACAAATCAACATGCTAATAGCATTAAGCTCTTGGAATGTAGGAACTTGATAGCGTTTAACATGCCATGCAACAGAAGTTCTTCCATCCAGTTGAAAAAGTGGCCTGCCTTTCTTTTCCTTTGGAGCAATGTTTCAAATTTTTAATCTCCATTTCATGCCTTTACCTGGTTGAACCAAGCAATTCATTAAACTGCAGTGCTGTGGATTGTAGTTGAAGATTGAGTGGCTGTTATGTACTGCAAGAGAGGGAAAGAAAACTGTCACACTCTGGGATTCAACAATGTGGTTAAATTATTCTCTTAAAATTAACTTGAAGTTCTTCTTTAGAAGTCATTTTTATGCAGAATAGGAAGTTCTCGTGTCTTCTGGAAATGGTTAAGGAGCAGAAACTGTATTGTACACCTGCTTAATGTCATCGCCAACCATAGCTCATAGAATTATTCTTCTACCCGCTCCACACTGTTCCTCCCTCCCTCCCTGTCTGCTTCACTCCCTCCTCTAACTCCCTCTTTGCATCCGTTCCCCCCTCTCCTTAAAGGGCTTGACAGGTAAATGTTGACATTGTTTCCCCTCCATGTGCGAATCTAGGACCAAAGGGTGTAGTCTAAGAATAAAGGGATGTCAATTTAAGATTGAGATGAGGAGAATTTTCTTCTGAGGGTTGTGAGTCTTTGAACTGCTTGCCACAGAGAACTGCAGTGGTGGAGATGCAGAATCCTAGTGTATATTAAGGCCAAGACAGGTTCTTGATTTCGTAGGGAAATTGAGGGTTGTGGAGAAAGGGCAGGAAAGTGGATGTGGGAAATGTCAGATCAACCATCATTGTGCTGAATAGTGGAGCAGCCTCGAGGGGCCAAACAGCTTGCTTGTTTTGCTATTTGTTATGGTATTGGACAAGGTAAAAGCAGAAAGGATGTTCCCAATAAGTGAGGAGCTCAAAACCAAGGGCCACACCCTTAGCCTACCCTGTATCCTTATTTAGGACTGAGATGAGAAATTTCTTGACCCAGGGAGTAGTGAGCCTGTGGAGTTCTCTGCCACGTATATTGGTTGAGGCCAGACATTTTTTTAATGATTCGTGAGATAGTTAAACTTCTAGTGGCTAAAGGGATCGAAGGATATGGTGAGAAAGTGGGAACAGCATACAGAATTTGATTAACCATGATCATATTGAATGGTGGACCAGGCTTGAAGGGGCCGAATGGCTTACTCCTGCTTTTTTCTATAAGTCTACATAAAATGCCCATCTGACCTCCAAGCTTGCCATCAGCACAGGCAGAATATTCAATTTGTGGCTATGCAGTTTTATTTATTCTTCCAAGGGTTTTGTTTCCCATTTTGATTTTTTTTTATCCATCCCTCCCTTGTCGATTTTTCTTCATGTTTCAACAATGATACTTAAATGTTCCAAAACAAAATTGTGAGGTGGATGTTTTAAATAGATTCAAATATTTAGAGTTCTCAAAGCCATTAAAGTAACAAATGAAATTCATATTTCAGGTTTACAAAGAATCTCTCACCTGATAAAATCAACGTAAGTACACTAAAAGGAGAAGGTCAGCTGACAAACCTGGAACTGGATGAGGAAGTGCTCCAAAATGTGCTGGATCTGCCCACTTGGCTGGCTATTACCAGGGTATACTGCAATAGGGCAGCCATTAGAGTAAGTACAACATAGTCGGGCCTTCACCTATCTTGGTATAAGTACTGTACTACAACAATGCATCCTACAAAGAACATGATCTGCTAAGTTTCTTGGCAGAGTAGGGAGAGAAGGGAAGTAAATTTCAGTACAATAACGTTCTCAAAATGTGTGCATTCATTCCAGCTATACAGCAGGAAAGATAAAACTGAGTTACTCCTAGCATCAAACAACATGGATTTGACATTTTAAAGCTTTTTTGAAGTAGTTGTGGTACGCTGCAAACGACAAGCAGTGTGATGGTGCTAACAGTATCTTGAGGGTTAAACATTTTAATGGTATGTTACTGACTGTGAGTAAGTTAACCAATTATTGCATCCTCATTGAGTGAGTTTAATTTTAGTACTGTATAAGTGTGTTAATTAGCTATCTTGGTTGATAGATATTTTGGTTTTAAATTTGACATAGTTAAGGTATTTAAATGACTACCTTGGTTACCAGAAGAAATTTGTATCTTGTAATGTGACCTATAGAGTTAAGCGACTAGAATGATGGTGCACACCTCCAACCTTGGTTTAAAATGTGAAATTATCCATAATTTGACATGTAATATAATACTTTTGAGATTGAAAACAGCAAATAAACCCTTATTGTAATTTGTCTAAAGTGCAATTATTAAACTTTTTATTTAGATACAATGGACAAAGCTGAAGACTCACCCCATTTGTCTGGTAAGTTAGATTTCCAAATTTTAAGAAACTTGCCTTATTCACTAATGACGAAACACTTTCATTTTGTTTATTCATGGGATATGGGTATAGCTTCCTAGGCCAGCATTTAGTGCCCATCCCTAAACTGTCCAGTGAGCAGTCAGGAGTCACTGCAATGGGTTAGGTTTAACAGAAGTGCTAGACCGGGTAAGGATAAGATTGCTTTCCTTAAAGGGCACCAGTGAACCAAATGGGTTTTTAGAACAATTGGCAATGGTTACATGGTCGTCAATTTTGATCAATTCAAATTTCACCATCTGCCATGGTGGGATTTGAACATGTCCCCAGGAGTCTGAGTTTCTGGATTACTAGTCCACTATGCCACTACCAGATCTCTGGTCTGCATGATTTTAAAAAAAAAAAAAAATTCTGGTATTTTTAATTTACTATACTCCTTCAGGTTGTTAAAGGTTCTCATATAAAGTGCCACCCACTATTTTGTTTGCTGTTCTCCCCCATGCCTTGACCCTTCAATTAGAGACTAATTGAGGTCTAAGAGTAGCACCACTAGAGTCTTAAAGTGACAGAGCTACATTCAGCATTGTGGTAGCATGAAATGAGAGAAATGAAGTTAGAACAAGTTGAGCGTAGAGTTTAGTTATGGCATACTTTTTGCATTCCTGTACCCGAGTGAAGCTTTTTTTTGTGTGGTTGCGGAATCATTAAAATGAACTGAATGTTATGCAGCTATATGAAGTGGACTAAGCAGTTACATGGAAAAAAAAATCTTCTGAAGAGGATTAGAGAGATCAAATGAAGAAAATTAATGTGATGTGTATCTGCGTGTCAGAAATAAATTTTATTCAGTCTTTTTCAGGATTGAAGCGAGGGATTAGTAATAATGCATTTAAGTATTCCTGCAATAATCCACTTGTTTCCATGGTTGGGGGATGCAGAATCTGAACCAGTAGTTTCTCATACTTGCAGTCAGTAAGAAAAAGTTATTTTTGACTGCTGTGTATGTGTTTTGTCCGAATCTAAATTACTGCAGATTAATGGAGAGCTTTAGCTGAATGCATTATTCTTGTAGACTTTCAAAGTCAAAGTTGTAATTGCCATTCAGTTGCAATTTTTAAGCATATATTTGTCTGTTTCTCTTTTGACCCAGTTTCTCGATAAAGTGGAGGTAGAAATGAGAACTTGTGAGGAACCTCGACCCCCAAATGGACCATCTCCAATTGCCATTACAGCAGGTCAAAGGTCAGTGTGTTATACTTCGTCCACAGTAAATGAAAATCTATTTATAAAAGTGATAACCTTTTTCTTTGAAAAATGAATTTAAGATCACTACAGACACAGATGAGTTTTAAGAGAATTGAATTTCCTGAACTTGAATTTAGCTGAAAGAATGACACAAATATCAAGTTTCAGCAATAAACACATTAGCTCAAAGCACTATTGACTAAATTTCTTTGTCGGCTATTGTCAAATACAGGGAGGAACGTTTACTCTTTATGTTTGCCACACATTTCACTCTCCATTGAATTACAGTCCTTTATGACACAGTCCACAGTTCTTCCAACTTCCAGCATTTGTCTGCTTTCCTGAGTAGTAACACTGGGTAACTGTCTTCAAGTACTTCCTTTAATTTTGAAGAGTTTCTCAAATCTACCTAACGCCAGAATTCAATCCTGTTCAGACCATTCTCTTTCATCTCCCATCTGTGCAAGGATTTATCTTGTATAAGCTTTGTATGGCAGCAAGATGTGTTTCTTTGACTGGTGATCATCTCCCTCCTGCATCCAGCCATAGTAGGTCACAAAACCTAACTGCTTTTGCCTCCTAACTCTTGGAATAGCTGCCTGTCCAAGATTGTGTTTTGAACTGGTAACATGGAACCAAAATTGGCTTCCTGTGCCGTCTTCCTCATGACAACATGACCTTTGCATTCGTGTATAAATGCTAATTAGCTGACATTGACTCCAACTCTCACAGTTGACAGCACAACTGTTTAACCCAGTAACTTCACCTTTTGTGAACATTGGAATTGGGAGCAGAAGTAGGCCATTCAATTAGACCATAACTGATCTGCTTTCTTTGAATTCCACATTTGCCATCTATCCCCAATAGCCTTTGATTCTGTTGCCTACGAAGAATCAATCTGTCTAAAAAAGTTCCATAAATCTGCCTTCTCAAGCAGTGTATTCCAAAGTCGCGCAAACTTCAGAAAAAAAGCTTTCTCGTTATCTTTGTCTGAAAAGGATAACTCCTCCATTTATAAGCTGAATTACCTCACTTCTGGTTTTAGAGTAGATTTGTGGCTCGGGTTATGGATGTTGATCAACAAATACATAGAGCTCAACCCCATATACACTCCACTGCAAAGGGAAACCGGAAGTGAGGTAATCCAGCTCAACGGACTCCAGAGTTCAAATAACAGGCAGGAAAACACAACAGCGCTTCATCGGAGGCTGCGCTGGTAATGTTACCCAGCAGGGTAATGAAACGCCTGCGGAAAAACAACGAACCAGCTCAGTGAGCCAACCAACCTCAACATCCACAACCCAAGCTACAAATCTACTCTAAAACCATTTAAAATCATTGTACATTTTAATCAACACACCCCTCACTCTTGTAAACAAAAGTGGAAACAAGCCCATCCTGTCAAATCTATTTTCTTAAGAAAATTTGTTCATTACATGTATCAATCCAGGAAACCTCTTCTGACCTACCTCCAATGTGTTTACATTTTTGTTTAAACAAGGAAAACCTAACTGTGCACAATGTTTGAGTTCTCACCAATACCCTGAGTAATGGAAGCGCAATTTACTTACTTTTTAATTCAAATCTTCCAGCAAACGATAATATTCCATGGCCTGTTTAATTACTTGTTGCCTTCTCTCCATAACTCTCGATCCCCTTAGTAATCAAGAACCTATCAATCTCTGTCTAAAATAGACCCAATGATTTGGCCTCCACAGCTTTCTGCAGTAATGCGTTCCACAGATTTCTGCCCTTTGCCTGAAGGAAGTCCTCCTACCCTCAGTTCTAAAAGGCCTGTGCCCTCCGGTCCGAGTCTCAAGTGGACATTGAAACATCTTGTCCACGTCCACTCTATCCAGGCCTCTCGGGATCCTGTAAGTTTTAAATAATTCCCTTCTCATCCTTCTATACCCCAGTAAGTACACATCCAGAGTCCTCAATCGGTCCTCGTGACAAGCCCCGAGAGCATTCTTGTTGATCTTCTCTGGACTGCCTCCAACACCAGTGCACCCATCCTTAGATGCTGCTGATGATATTCTAAATATGGTCTGACTAGACTTTATACAGACTCAGCAGTACGTCTCTGCTCTTGTATTCTATCCCTCTTGATGTGAATGCTAACACCGCATTTGCCTTCCTGTCGATTGGGTTTGCGCATTAACCAAAGAGAATCTTGAACTAGGACTCCCAAGTCCCATTGTGCTTCAGACATTGGAAGCCTTTCCCTCTTTAAAAAATATTCTATGCTTTTCTTTCAAGCAAAGTGCATAACCTCGCACTTTTCCCACATTTTATTCCACCTGCCACTTCCTTACCCACTCTCCTTGCTTGTCCAAGTCCTTTTGCAGCCTACCTGCTTCCTCAACCTGACCTGTCTCTCCAATTATCTTTGTGCCATCTGCAAACTGATTAAATTTGTCTGAATAAACAATATTGATTCTGTGCTTGATCACAGTCCTAGAAATATGTGTTAGAGGTGTCAAAAGACACAGAGGTCATAGTCCTAGAGTGCCGAAAGGGTTGCTCTGTCATCAGAGAGGCAACCGGCGGTGTGTTCTAACCTGAGCGTCACCATGCCTCTGGCAAGGTTGAGACAGCGGAACCTGCATTGTTGGTGCAGAAATTGAACCTGTGCTGTTGGTATCACTTTGCTTTACAAACCAGCCCTCTCTAGCCAAATCAGCTAAAAGAGCTATGTATCAGGCAGTATGTTCTCAGCCTACGTTTGCAGACAATTTTTTCAAAAGATGTCACAGGAAGTATAGGCCTGTGAGCCTCACATCATTGTTAGGGAAATTATTGGAAAAGATTCTCAGGGACAAGATCTATAAGCATTTAGAAGCAAATGGACTGATTAGCGATAAACAGCGTGGTTTTGTGCAGGGGAGGTTGTGCGTCACTAATTTGATTGAGCTTTCTTTGAGGAGGTGACAAAGATCATTGAGGGAAAAGCGGTTGAAGTCTACATGGACTTCAGGAAAGCCTTTGACAAGGTCCCTCATGGCAGACTTGTACAAAAGGTGAAGTGACTTGGTATCAGGGATGAGCTGGCCAGATGGATCCAGAACTGGCTTAGTCATAGGAGACGGAGGGTAGCAGTGGAAAGATGCTTTTCGGAATGGAGGGCTATGACTAGTGATGTTCCACGGGGATCAGTGCTGGGATCTCTGCTGTTCGTGATCTACATAATGATTTGGAGGAAAACATGGCTGGTCTAATTAGTAAGTTTGAGGATGATACAAAGATTGGTGAAGTTGTGGATAATGAGGAGGATTGTCAGAATACAGCAGGATATAGATCAGTTGGAGGCATGGGCAGAAAAATGGCAAATGGAGTTTAATCCGGACAAATGTGAGGTGATGCATTTTGGAAGGTCAAGTACAGGTGGACAGTATACGACGAACTGCAGAACCCGAGGGAGTATTGCTATGCAGAGGGATCTGGGTGTGCGGGTCTGCAGAGCAGGTAAATAAGGTAGTAGAAAAGGCCAATGGCATTCTTGCTTTTATTGGAAGGGGCATTGAGTATAAGGACAGACAAGTTGTACTGCAGCTTTATAGAACTTTAGTTAGCCCACAGTTGGAATATTGCATACAGTTCTGATCACCACACTACCAGAAGGATGTGAAAACTGAAAGAGCTGCAGCTGCTGTAAATCAGGAACAAAAACAGAAATTGCTGGAAAAGCTGAGCAGATCTGGCAGTATCTGTGAAGAAAAAAATCAGAGATAACATTTAGGATCCAGTGACCCTTCCTCAGAACTGATGGTAGCTGGAAAACGTTGGTTTATGTGCAGAAGATGGGGAGTAAATGATAGGATAGAGTCTGAAGAGAGAGAGCAGAGCAGTTTGATAGACAAAGGACTTGATAATGATCTGGCTGGGAGGCTGAATAGTTGTTAATGGGAAACAAAAACAGAAGTTGCTGGAAAAGCCCAGCTGGTCTGGCAGCATCTGAATTGCGTTCTGAGGAAGGGTCACTGGACCCGAAATGTTAACTCTGATTTTCTCTTGACTGATGCTGCCAGACCTGCTGAGCTTTTCCAGCGACTTCTGTTTGTTTTTCCTGATTTACAGCATCCGCAGTTCTTTTGGTTTTAGTTGTTAATGGGACTGTTAGTCACTAACAATAGGTGGTGTCTATTGGCAGGCTATGAGATAACAAGGCCTGGTGTGTGGGGTAGGGGGCTAGGACAGGGGAGAGTTCGGGTCCTGAAATTATTGAACTCGACATTGAGTCCAGAGGGCTGCAGGACCCCTAAGCAGAAAAGGAAGTGCTGTTATTCCAGCTTGCACTGAGCTTTGCTGGAACACTACAGCAAGTCTGAGACAGATGTTGGCCAGGGAACATGTTGGTGTGTTAAACTGGCAGGCAACAGGTAGCTCAGAGTCTTTTTCTGTTTATGTACCAGAAGGATGTGAATGCTTTGGAAAAGAATACAGAAAAGGTTTACCAGGATGTTGCCTGGTATGGGGATTTTAGCTACCAAGAAAGGTTGGACAGACTGGGTTTGTTTTCACTGGAATGCAGGAGGGTGAGGGGTGACCTAAATAGGAGTTTATAAGATTGCCGTTCACAAAGAGTGGAAAGTATGAGGTTTTTGTTTCCCCAGGGGAAGAGGAGTCAATTACGAGGGGACACAATTACAAGGAAAGTTTAAAAGATGACCAAGGCATGTTTTTTACACAAAGGGTGGTGAGTGTCTGGAACGCACTGCCAGAGGTGGTGGTGGAAGCAGACACAAAAGCAGCATTCAAGAAGCACTTGAACAAGTAATGAATACGAAGGGAATGGAGTGACTAGAGATCCTGTAAGTGAAGATAGTTTTAATATGGAAGGGCAAAATTTCTCAGCGCAGGCTTGGAGGGCCGAAGGGCCTGTTCCTGTGCCGTATAATTCTTTGTTCAGTATTCTAAAGAAAGAAATATCCACACAGCAATATCTAGCTCAAACAGCAATGAATCTAATGCATAATGAGAGCAATTTTGGCTATATT